TCGGATGGTGGGACGGGGGCGGCTGCCCCGCGGAGGGGATCGGCGCCCCGCGACGATCCGTTCCTGCCCGGAGTGCACAATCGGCCGTCGCCTCGGCCGCAGCCCCGGCCGCTGCCCCTCCCCCGCCGCCCCTCCGCATCGTCGTCGTGTCAGACACGCACGGCTTCGAGGCGGCGCTCACCACTGACGCGTCGCTGCTTCCTTGGATGCCGACCGAGGCCACCGCCGCCTCGAGCCGCGCGGAAGCTGCGGCGGCAGACGCTTCGGGAGGCAAAGTTGCGGCGTGGCGCGACGCGGCGGCCGCGCGCCCGCCCGGAGGCTCGTCCGGTGCGGCCAACAGCGCGGAGGCTGTTGCTGCAGTGGGCCTCCCTCTGCCAGAGGGGGACGTGCTTCTGCATCTCGGGGATTTTGCTGTCGACGGCGCGCACATCTCGCCGCATGCTCGCCTCGTCACGCCTCGTCACCTCGCCTCACCTCGCCTCACCTCGCCACATCTCGCCACTGCTCGCCACATCTCGCCACATCCCCATACCTCCCGCACTCAGGCGGGGCGCGGCATCGGTTCGAGGCTCTCGAGCGTTTCGACGCTTGGTTATCGTTGCAGCGATTCGACCACAAACTTGTCCTGCGCGGCAACCACGACCCGTTCAACGTCGCGTTCCCGCGCTCCAACGCCACGCTCATCACCCAGCCCACTCTGGCAACCATCGGCGGCTGGACCCTCTCGCTCGTCCCCTTCTCCCGAGGCGGCCGCCTTGTCGTACCCCCCGGCGACCTGATAGCCAGCCACGTGCCTCCGAAGCGCATCCTCGACCGAACCTACTCGGGCGACCGCGCCGGCTCGTCTGCGCTGCGCGGCGCCGTGGAACGTTGGACCGCCCCGCCACCCCGGGTGTGGCTGTGCGGGCGAGCGGCCCGACGGCGCAGCTGTCTGCACTCGCCTTTCGGCCTTTCACGCCGACGTCATGGAGTGGTCCTAGGCACATCCACGAGGGGCGCGGCTGCGAGCGCGTGCGCTTCGGCGGGCGGGGACTGCATGCGTCGCGGGAGACGCTCGTGATCAATGCCGCGAACGCGAACAGCGGCCGAGCAAACCGGTTGGTGCACGGGCCTGTGGTGCTGGACCTCGGCGCGGAGACCGCGTCTCTTGTCGCCGACTCGCCTGACTCACCCACCGAAGTTGCCGCCGCCGCCGCCGCCGTGGCTGCAGTGCCCGCCGCAGTCTCGCCGATTCGCCCGAAACCGGTGGCTCCTCCCGAGGCGACCGGGACGGGCGTGCAAGACCGCGGCGGGGAACGCGGCACAGAGGCGGCCGCGGTCGGTGCGCTGCTCCTAGCAGTCGATCTCGGCTTGCGGAGCGGTGCGAGTCTGTTCTCGGCAGACGGGGAGCTTCTGCGGTACGAGCAGCTTCGCTTTGCAGACGAGACGGCGCTGCGGGAGGAGGCGCCGCAGCTCATCGCCTCGTGGGAGGCCGATGTCAACGCGGCGGCGGCGGGCCAGACGAGCTCCGCAGCCGCGCCGCGCCGTTGGGCCATCACGCACGTGGCGATCGAAGGTGGAGACCCGCCATTGTGGGAGGCGTGGGGCGAGGCACACGGCGCAGCGCCGCTGAGTGTGTCTGCCGACGAGTGGCGGCGCCATCTCTTGACGAGGAAGGAGCGATCCTCGGGGAGCTGCGCCAAAGCAGCGGCGAGGCTAGTGGCGCGCCAGGTGGTCGCCGACTTTGGGGCGATGGAGGCTCACGTCGGCGCTTTCAAGACGGATGCCGCCGAGGCGGTGCTCATGGGCTATTACGTGGCGATCGCTGGCTCTCGCCGGGCGGCTGTTGTTATCTCAGTTACTAATGATTGATGATTGACTGATAGGCCTACCGTCTCGGCTGGACTACACGGGAGCCGCCGATCCGCCGTTTCTCCAACGGCAACGTGGTGCTGCCGAAGGTGACTGCCAAAAAATAAGAGCCACCACATACACTGGACGCGGTGAGTTCCGACAACGGTGGGCCTGCAAAGTGTAAAAGATGAGCGTGACACGATGAAAATACAGTTCCGGACGGGCATTAAGAACCTCTAACGTTAAGAACCTGAGGCTCATATTTCGGCCGGATCCCTAAGAACTCCCTAAGAACCTGAGGCTGGGCCAACGCCTGCAGCCGGCGCCCCTGCCCCCGCGGCCGCAGCCGCAGGGGCAGCTCACGGCAGCGAATGACTCTCTTGTCACGCCATGCGCGAACTTACTGTTCCAAACTTCCAAACTGTTTTAAGACCCATTTATTGATTTTTAATCGAAGCCGAAACGGTTTAAAAACCATCCACCCGGTTAAGAACCTGAGGCTC